AGAGTGAGTCAACATGCTCTTACATCAGCAGACAGCTCATCTGATCCCTGACTTTTTGCAAGACACAGGCTGGGTTTTTCAGGAAAGCTCAGCTCCCTTTTAGCTCCCTGAAGGCTGCGTGCAGAGAGGCATGCAGGCAGCTGCACACTCTCCACCAGAAGGCCAAACGGGCCAGCCTTGGTCCAGAAGCTGTGTAGCCATGTTAGCACAACACCGTGCCCAATTCACTGAGCCTCAGCATAGCTTTTTGTCCCCTTGGTGCCTAAATGGCAGCTGAACTCTTCTAACAATCTGACCCATTTAAAATAGAAGGTAATAAAGGGTGGAGTTTGTTCAGCATGCTGAGCTCCAGCTCTGGGGATGGTCCAAGTGGCAGCTGGAGCAATTTCTTTCACTGTTTTCATAAAATATTTTAATGTACCCAATTTAAAAGCAAATAAATTGTTTTCACCACAAGATGCAGTCCTCCTCCTGGCCATTTGCACATTTATTCATGTATTGTATGGCTCAGAAATCCACCCAGGTCCCAGAACACCATTAAATTTCTAAGGCCTGATGCTGAGATGGACAGAATATTTGCAAGTCTTGTTCCTGTCTGTGGGGACTGGGCTTTAAATCTCCCCAAATCAATACCTTAAACAGCTCAGACTTCTGCAATTGTGTTGATGGGAACATTAAAATCTGTTTCAAAGGATGATGCTGCAATCCTGCAAATTTAAGCTGATTGGGTTTTTTTGTTGGATGTGGTGGGTTTTTTTAATAGTTTATGAAGCAAGCAATATAAGAAACAGGTTTTACAACTTGCTTTAAATATAAGTAAGCTTACTTCTCCTTTCACCCATGTCTTCCTTCAGGCTTTTTTATTGCTTTCTGATAAAATCTGTAAAAATAGGAATTGTATATGTTTTTCCCTTCTTAAAGTTTCAGGTGCAAATGTCTAAGCGCATGCTTTTACAAATCTCCTGTTTCTCTTGTATGTTTGAGTACTAAAGACAGACCTGTCTTACTTCAAACCCAATTGACGGTTTTGCCTGACCTCAAGGTTTTATTTGTGGCACTAACTGGGCACCTTCATAACAGTCTTAGAGACTGTTGAAAAGACAGGCCAGACTGGGCCTTTGAACTTTGGCAACTGAACTCAGAGCTATGAAGTTTGGGACAAATTAGTGGGGCAAAGGGTGAAAACACGTTAACCGCTGCCCATTCTGCACAGTGTCCTCTGCATGAGACTTGTTCTGTCGGTCCTGTACCTATCATTACTACCATGTTCATACACAATAAACACAAACATACATGTTGTGCTTTAGTCCTCCTACCTATAGTTCAGCAAGACTGAAGCAGGGTAGTATTTGGATAGGAGACCTTCCAGGAGAGTTCACTTGCTGTAGGAAATAGCGTTCACTTACTGAGTAATATTGTTCCAATACTGAAGTCAGTCTTGTGTCTTCTGGTCCTGGGGATGATGAGCTGTAGAAATTCCAGCTTTGGATGGAATAAAAGCAAGTTCTTGAGCATTTTTGGTCATGGTGGAGCTTTTGGCAATTTACTGCAGAGTAGGAGAGTATCCTGGCCGAATTCCAACCTGGGTGATTACATTCAGCTGACTGAAAATGAGCAGCGGCAATTGCTGCCTTTCACTGTTGGGCAAAGTGATTTCCACACATGGGCTTAAATTTGTAAAGTGACTTAGGGTAAAGCAGAATGAAAAGGACTTACAGAAATGTCCCTTTAACACTCATAGCTTATTCTTGAAGGCTTTGTGAGTCTTATCAGTCTGCTGTCACATTCCTCTAAATGCCAGTGATCCAGCTGCTGGGGCATTGCTTGGAATGGCTGTACCACATCACAGGATGGTCTTCAGAACAGTGGTGCTTTTTATAATGCACATACACATTCCCACACATCAAGCAAGGAAACAAACAGAATGGCAGAGAAAGAAATAATAAAAGAACATTCAAAGTTTTCTTTGTTAGAAATTAAAATACTGTGACAGTGCCGTTCAGGCTGATCCGTGGTTGGTGTTTTGTTTTCAAAAAGGCTAAGTTATCCTTTGATTCAAAAAGGTAGAGAAGCACTGATGTAAGATATAGAAGGCAACATGGAAATGTATCTCCTGTTTTATATGTACCCCAATGTATAACAATTTTTTTCTCTCCCTGACTTTTCCTACTTTATTTTGTACCCAGATTTTCTTGCTCCTGTCTGAAATATGCCTTATAACTTTACAAGTTTTCAGAAGACCACTGTGTTTCACTGGGATAGGAATATTGCATCTGCTTCATAGCAGGAGGATGTTATATGTATTACAGCTTAATTCTGTTCTACTTTAAACCTAGATAAAGAATGAAGACTGTCTGTACCATTTTGATTACCTCTTCTAGGGTTCAAAGAGAGAACCATTTCCCCTGACCTTCATTTGCTAATGCATCAGCTTGATCTAACTGGTATACAGTTGCTGTTAAACAAAAATTCCGATAGGAAGAACCACCTCAATGTCCAAAATTCCTTTGCCCCTGCTGGTGTTGGTGGCTCTCTGTAACCATCCAAAAGCCGAACTACGCAAAGTCACGCAAAGTCACGAGAGCTGTTCACGAGAAGCTTGTATATGAATGGACAATGCTGCCATCCTCTTGAGAGATGAGACGAAGGACCCTTCACAATGACAGCTCTGCAAGTTCCAAATATGAGAGTCGTGCATATGGAGTTTCATGCTTTGTCTCAAGAGTGATCTTCGTTCTTGTTAAGCTAATTTCACCTCTTGTCACAAGTTTTGCTTTTGGGATTTAGACCATCATTAGCCACGGAACTCCTGTGTAAATCACCTTTTTCTTTTTTTCCCCTGTTTTACACAAAAGACTGTTAATGGGACTGTTAGTGGAATAAGCAAAGCCAATATTCACAGGGTTTAACGTTGCACCAATAGCACCTTTTGCCCCAGAATGCCTTACAAACACCATACAGCATGCATGTCCCAGTGTACAACTTGTCATGAAATTTCTGTTCACTTAGGCACCACCTTAGTTTCCCAAGCTGACTTTTAGGGACATTACACCACATAGCATCTCATACAATAAGTCAGATGCCACCCAGAGGTGCCTTTCAGGTCTGAGAGCTTTCTCCGTGAATGTGTTCAGAGCTAAAGAGACCATGCGTGCATCCTGCGGGGTGATGCCGTCCACCTAACGGGAGCATCCTGAAGTGACTGAGGGAATGGCAGAAGGAGGGCACGCTGGCGCTCCTCCTGTCCGACTGTGGGTGCGACGCATAGGTGTTTACTGCGATGAGCACCGCAAAACGTGGCTTGTGGCTGCGGAAGAGGCAAGTGTCCTTTGAGCTTCCCAGTGATTGTAGCTTTGCTATTGCAGGTGCCTCTACTGCATTGCCAGTAACTGCCTGCTCTTTTTGTTACTTTCCCCCAGGAGGAAGGTATGCTGAGGGCTCGGATCCAAAGAGTTCAGGTTCCCCTGGGTGAGGCGCTGCGACCCAGCCAGCTCCCCCCATCCCGGCTGCCTCATATGTGGCAGCTGTCCCAGGGTGAGCAGTACAGGGATAGTAACTCTCGCGTTTGGGAGATAGAGCACCATCTCATGGTAAGGATGGTGGCAACAATAGACCATAGTCATGCCTGTTTGTGAAGTCATTTGAGATCCTTGAGGGACGGCAAAGGACTGTTATTTTGTTGAAGTCCATTAGCTCAGCCACAGTAACTGTAGACGTATTGAACTTTTCCTTGTCGCTTACAGCTTGGTGGTGTTGAAGAACTGCTGCTTAAACTCGTGCCTGGTGATTAATCTGGTATGTGTAGACATTACCCCTGCTTTGTACTATGCTCTGTTTATTCCCAGTCATTCTTTAATATGAATTTTTGTCTTTCAGGAGCAGTGGTTCTAGGAAGATGTCACTGTATATTTTGTACAATAAATTATTCTCTCTCCACTGAAATGCAGCCACCTCTGAGGTGGAAGCAGTTAAACAACACACAGCAACATCACACAAGAGTTTAGGACAGGCAGTGAAGAGGAGTAGTGTCCAAGTGAAACATCAGGGGGAGTTCTAGGTAGGCAGAATGTAATTGTCCCAAGTGGAGTTTGGCCAGGATGCTGGAAATAATGCCCTAGCAATACTGAAAAGTGCCGTGGGCTCGTGAATTATCAGCAATTTGAAAGGGAGCACCTCCCTAGCTCTGGGCAGGGGCAGGAGATGAACTGTGGCTCAGAGAGAGCTCAAGTCCCACCACTGCTTTCGGTAACAGCAGTGCTTTCCTGTAGAGGTCTCCCATCCAACTACTAGTACCACCAGTTTTTGCTCATCTTTTGATCTTTCACAGAAGATCTCAGTTACAGGTGTCACAGCTGCAGAAAGTCAAATTAAGTGTCTGAAATCCTGCTTTCTAGGGATTTGAACAAGATGGAGCTGTCCTCCAGTCTGGTTTTACGGCGGGGGGGATTTCCAAGAGAACAACAAAAAGAAAAGCCCTCCTTGTTGTCTTTATGGGACATACATACACAACTAAGTTGTTTTGTTTGGTTGTTTTTTTAAATGCCCCCTCCAGCTGTAGTTATATGACTAACACCAAATCCTTGGTTGTGTAGAGCTCACAGAGGGCTGTTACATAAATACATGTTGTAGTATAAGGTCTAGAGGCACAGAACTTGTAAAAATTAGTCAGCCATGTTAATTTGAATCTTTGCTGGAATCTTTGTGCATCCAAGTGGAAAAGGACACATTTTGATGAGAGAAAAGAAAAAGGCCTTCAAGCCTAGCAACATAGAACTTTCCGTATTCATTGTCCACATTATCATCCTTGAGCCAGACACAGAGAACACTTGTGTATGTTGGTAGGCGTCTGCAAGCAGCAATAGGTGTTTTCTGAACTGTCTGAGGGAGGGAAATCGGGAGCTCTTTAAAGTCTTGGCTTTAAGACGTGTCTTGCCCCCCCATCCCCTGAAAAGCGCGTTGTTTCTACAGTAACATTTTCCTATCATTTTAGTTCTCTGAACATGTCCCAGAAGGATCCCTGCCAGAAACAAGCCTGTGAAATACAGAAATGCTTGCAAGGTACCAAGTGTCATTTTGTCTTTTTGGTGTCTTGATTTTTGGTGGAACTTAATTCTTTTAACTTAACCCTGTTCTTTCACCTTGAGAAGAAGAAAGCAAGCACATTAGGATCACCAGATTGCAAAGCAACCAAAATTATCATTTCTGGTTTTAATAGAATTCCCTTGTGCTTGATTGTAAATAACGAGACACCATTAGTACAAAACGGAGCATTTGTAACAGTAATGTTGTGCTTATTTCAGAGTGTTCTCCATGCTAGTAGTGAGATCCCATCTGTAGTCTTGGGACTCGGCTGTAGGCGGGGAGAGCTAGACATTATACTAAGCTCTCTTACAGAGTGGGTAGTGAGTGGATTGTACGAGAAGACTGCAGAGCTTCTAGCTCCAGGGGTATTTTAAGAGCAGGTCAGACAGATGTCTGTCGGGGTTAGGTATATGTGATCTGGCCTCAAGGTATGAGCTGGTCTCCCTCTGGAGACCTTTAACAGCTGTTTTGTATTAACTTAGCTAAATATTTGTAGGGGTGAGGGAGATTATGTGATAATGTGTTTTGGGAGCCTGAGTTGGGGAGAGCAGGCTTGGTACTTGCAGAGGACCATATTTTTTAAAAATTTTGGTGGCTTCTTGGAAAAGCATTTGCCTTATAGAATGAATGAGAGAAAACATTCCTCTGTGCTAAGGCAGCTCAGCCATATGTGAAAGACTTCTTCCTAACTCACCTGGTGGAGCCCTTAACCAGCATGCTCTGAGCTTCACATGAGAATAACTCATGGTGTTAGCCCAGGGACGAGAAGGCAGGAGGCTGGCAATGCCACAGCTAAAATTAGCCAGGCCAGTTCCACAGCAACTCATTTCTGCCTTTAATTTATTTGCAGACTACAGGCAGGTTAGCTAAAATATAGCAGGGAGGGAGGGGGGTTTCCACTGGGGAAGTAGAGGGGTGGCTTTGCAGACTGCAGCAAACAGTGATTGCAATCTGTGCAGGTAACGCACCAACTCCAGTGGCTGGGGAGGAGCATAGGAGGAAAAGCATCTGGGAAAAAGTAGGGAAAAGCAACAGTCAGTTATTGGTAGATGTCTGTCTTTCCCAGGATTTTTTTTTGGAAGCTGTGTTCAGCTCAAAGCAAGGGCTCAAACAACCCCCTCTACATGTCCCCAACATTTGTCTAGATATTACGTTTTACTTTCTTCATGGTTTGGAGCATTCTCACATGAAGGGCTGCCTTCTCCCCCTGCACTTAAAAGCTAATGTTTGACCCTGTTTTGGTCCCATCTGTGACAACGTTCTTTTTATAACATTCATGGAGTTTATTCCAAGTGTTTTACCTGTGTAGGTTTGTGTACAGATCTGATTTGAATGGTTAAGTGTTAGCAAAGAAGCTCTTTGAGTCTGCTACATACACACTCCACTGTCCACCACTTCTCTAGCTATCGTTTTGGAGTGCTGTTGTTGTTCACATATTATCGTGCTGTGGAGTTGTCTGAGTTGCACAGATGAAGCAGCTGACTTGACAGACAGCAAAGCAATTTTTCCCTGTAACAATTAATGCGATAGAGGATGTATACTGAGCCTTAGCTGACATATAAGCAGAGACAGTGTACAGAGTGCGGAGGATGGAGGGCAGAAGCAGGACCGTTGGGAGATGCTGGCTTTTCAAAAGCTGGTTTTGGAGTGGGTCATTGTTCCAAAAGATCTTGCCTGCTTCCTCTGTGAGACTGAATGCCCACTGTAAATCTCTTGTGTTTTGCTATCCATTATATGACTAACTGTTGTGCTTTTCAGGAATGCATCCCTGACAGATAGCAGGGTGTGCCTGTATGTAGCTGTGGTTTTAGAAACAAACCTGCACAGGCAGAGGAACAGTTAGGAGAGCCTTGGAGCACTCATCGTCAGCAGGTTATAGCAGAGAGAGATTAACTCTCCTCTCCAAGAGCCTGCCATGCCTCCTAGACTGCCAGTTTGCACAAAGCAGTAATGTCCCATAACCTTTTTCTCAGGGGTGACCTATCTGCTTGTGTTACAGATCACAATGGAATTCATATTATGAATTATTATGGAATTCGTAGCCCAACGATCAGAGCAGGCTGGCTTGCTCATTAACCAGAAGCCGTTCACTGCTGCTTTCTGGGCTCTCCAGTGGGCGCTGTGTTTGTCTCACATTGGGTTGCTGTTGCCTCTTTTAGTCTTTTAAAAATCAGTGGCGGGGGGAGGGGGTGAGCACAGCTGTGTAGTGGTTGCATAGCTTATCCAAGGCAGAGCGGGTGGCTCTGCACGCCCTGCGCTTATATGCAGACAGGCAGGTAGTTATTAATTCAAGCCACAGATTCAGTCTGCTCACATGCCTGCAGGGCTTCTCTCCGAGACCCTGGTGGCCAGCCCTGCAAAGCACTGTGGGCTTCGTCACCTCAGCCAGCAAAGCACGAGGGCAGGAAGGATGCTGGACAAGTCACCTCTGTCCTGCAGTGCATAAACCTGCTGGTGCAGTGAAATCTCTCTGGGCCTGAAACAAAGGCAATACCTGAAAGAGGCAAGAACTCTGAAAGTACAGAGGTGGGCATAGCTGTGCTGTGCACAAAGATGTGAGTCCAGTCATCCCAGGTCAGACTCGGAGCTCATTTAGCCCCATGTCCCAGCTCTGGCAGTGTCCAAGAGGAGAAGCCTTGGAAGCAAAGTGATAGGAGGTGAAGTAACAGTTGTGTGGCTAAGGGACCTCCTGAGCCAGAGGTGGGACCTTTGTCTGGAAGGTGGTTGTGTCACTGGCTCTGTGCAGTTGGGATTCAGCTGCTGGCGTCTGGCTAAGCATTCTTGCTAGCGTGCTGCCTGCTTTGGTTATGCTGCAAAGCTACAGCCTGCCCACAACAGGCTACGGGTAGGAGGTTGGCAGTGATACTCCTCACCCCTTCCTTTTATAAACCCCACAGTGCTGAAGGGTGCATATGTCCCTGTTTATACCAAGTCCTCTTTGGATGCTCTTATATTTACACTCAGCTGTAAACCTTATCGTGACATGGCAGCTAGGTTGAAGACCATGGATGACAAGATCCAGCTTAAAAGCACACAGGCTGAAGAAAGTGAGGATTGAAAGGCAGCAATAAGGGAAACCTCATTCTTACTGCAGTGAGATGTGATAGCTACAAAACTGGGGGACTGAAGATGCTCCCATCCACAACAGCAAGGCTGCCTTTGCATGGCTTTAGATAGCTGAAACTAAAGAGAGGTTTTTGTAGAGCAGAGATAGTGATGAAATACCTTTAAGCAGCTCTTGCTTTTCAGAGAAACATGCTGCCCAGCAGCTGAAGGGATGGACTAGATGTGTCCCCTCCAGGGATGAAACCTCTTCCCCTCTGCAGACTTAGTGTCTCCTTCTTATTTTCCAGTGAACAACTACATGGAGTCTAAGTGTGAAACCGTGCTTCAGGAAATGCGGAAGTGCTGTGCCCGGTACCCCAAGGGCAGATCCATCTGTTGTTCAGGGTTTGAGAAAGAAGAAAGGGAGAGAGAAAAGTTCAAGGCGACTTCAGAAGGAATTCCCCCACCACCTCAGTAACACAATGCAGCTCCAGCAGGTGCCGGAGCACGGACTCACCTGCAGAGCTCATGTGTGTTTTTTCAAGCCTTCTTTAGACTTTCAGGAAAGCCAGATCGCTCCTAGAACACACCACCCGGCACACCAAAAAGTACAACGCAGTACCAACAGATGGCCTGGTTAACAGACTTTATTTTCTGTACCAAAACATCATCTACATTGTCTTTGCATCGCACCTGTGTCTGTGAAAAGTCAACTTGATGTTTTTAGAATGCTTACCTTACTCTAATCCATCCTTGCTCTCAAAATGGAGAACTGGAACCAAGTTATTCTGGCTTCTGGAGCGAGAGGTACAGGAAATAACCTCAGAAGAGTGAGTGAGTTTAAGCGTGACACATGAAACAAGCCCATCTTGACACGGCAAAGGTATTGCTGCCATCATGCAGTAGTTCCAGACAACATTTGCCTGTCCAGTGGTTCAAGCTCAAGAATGGGAATCAGGTCTTGTTCAGGATTGTTCCTAGGTCTTGCATAGATCACGAGTGACTACAAGTCGCTTTGCCTAAGTGCCTCACTTTCCCACTGGACAGACTTTTGGTTACTTTATATTTGAATTGCCTACACGCTGCTATTTGCATGACAAAGATGTTACAGGAACATTATTTCAGGGATTGCTACAGGAATAGGATTTTTTTAAAAAGCAATATTCATTTGAAAGATCTGACTGTTGATATAAAATTTATAAATTTATGTTATCATTGAACACCTTTAAGCAATATGTTATGAACCCAGCTAGTTCAACCTGCTGGTACCCAGAGGCCTGTCACAAAGCCCTGGGCTAGATCCAAGAACTGATTTAGGTGCTGCTTACTGAACAAGCAGTTATAGGCACTTGCTTTCAACACAGCATTCCAGACTCACTCACAAGCTGGCTGTGTCTGGACCCCAGTGAGAGATGGCTTTTCAGAAGGTCTCACCTGTGCAGCAGAATTTCCTGTGACCTGTAGGAAGAGCTCAGTAGACAGGTTCCTGCATCACCCTTCAGAGCTGCCCAAGTCTCTCCGTCCCGTGTAGCAGGAGTCCAGGCACCTCAGTGGGTGCCAAGTCCATTACAGGGCCTAGGCACCTAAATATCAGACTTCGAACCCACTAGGCCCCTAACTCTGTCATTAGATCTAGCCGTAAAGGACTTTTGTGCTGTGATCAAATACAACTTACTTATGAAATACAGCTTCTATAAACAGACCACTGTAGTCTAGGCACAATAGTTGAGTATATTGAAGCCTAGAAGAGCAAACCATCTGTATTCGCTGCTCTGAAATACCATGATACAAAATAAATGACTGGAACAAATTGTAGTCTCAGTTTGGTTGTTTATTGAGAATACAACATAGCTGCAAGCCGGGCAGCTTGGCTGCCATTCACAGTCCAGAACTACATGTGATATCACCATATTTAAATAGAAGCTGCTTGATATTTTTATAACCGGGGCTCAAGATCAGAATAATTCAGGGCTAGCCTTCTGCTCCCGCCCCTCTCCTCCCACAAAAACCCTTGAGACAAAGCAGGGGTTTTAGTATTCTTGAAAAGTAGGGGAAAGTGATGACAATGTTGTAAAGCAGCTCAAACACTTGACAAGTAGCTCATTTTTCCCTTTTGCCCTGTCTGAGCAGGAGCAGTGGAAAGTAAGTCACTAATAGATGATAAAAAAAAATTTAGGCTTTTGTTGCACCTATTAAAAAGAAAAGCCTCATTTCCATGCCCGTTTCTACTCAGGTGGAGCAAACTGGCTCAGCAGTGAGGCTCTGAAGCCAGGCTGGCAGCAGAATCACCTCCTGCCCCAGAAACATCTCACCTTTTGGGAACATTGGTGATTGGTGCCAGGATCATCAAGGAGAGGGATTTATTAAGGCAGCCCATGGTTACCTGCAGAGAAGAGGGAAGGCTGGTGGCCTCATGCTACCAGACTGGCTGTAACTGCTCCCATGAGTCAAACGCAACACGCAGAGTAAGACAAAACCACACCGGTTCCCAAGAATTCAACAGACCTCACACAGAGAAGCTATTAGAGCAAATATGTTTAATAAAATATCACTTCAACATGCATTTACATACAATATATAAAAACACTTTAAAACCCTAGTGTGTTTTAAACCGTCTCATACTGGAACAGATGCCAGAAGTTGTTGAAACAAGACCAAAAGGAGCAGGGGTGGGGAGGGGGGAAACACCTCATCTTGGCACCTGCAACAATGAAAACACATCCCCACAGAGGTTGATTCAGCATCAAAGCCTCCAGTGTGGGCCCACAGCATCAAACGGTGCCAGCCACGAGCCCGCGACTGGCACAGCAGAAGGATTTGCCAGATCCTGATGTCCTTGTCCAGTCCCTGCCTGCATTCACATCAAACTCAACATGAATTTGTCACTTGTTTCCCCTTCCAACAGCAATTGAGACGTTTCGGCTCCCTCTCTGGGCCATTTCTCTCCGTAACAGCAAGTCGGGACCCTGCAGAGCAGAACCCAGTACACACTTCCCTGGGGCTGGGCAGAAATAGTGACTTATTTGAGCCTGAAAAACATTCCTAAGGTCTGTTAATGATTTACTTTGAGCTTTGTCCTTGAAGCAAGCTTTGTGGAGATTAGTGCATCTCAGAAGAAGTTGTGTTATGCAGCACACCAGGCAGAAGGGCAGCAACACTGCTTTCCTACAGGAACAAGAGATACCCTGCAATAAAAATTTATTAATTCATGCACGTTCAGCCCTGCAGGGTTCCTACCAAAACACACAAAAAAACCCACCACCATCATCTGTCACTCCACTCCCAAGCACCAATTTACTGAAGACCTATTTACTGCTCCCATCACTCCTGCAGTCCTGGATGGCTTTTAGAAGGACCATCATTAAAAGGACATGAGCCCAGCTGCTCCTTCATTCTCCTTGGCCATGTAAGGCAGGACAGGAGCAAAGATACCAATTTCTGTTTCCTGATTACCTGCAGGCTCTTTTCAGATCCTGAAGGTGAGAAAACCTCAGCTAAATCAATGTGTTGCTACACTGACACTTCAATCAACAGAGCAGAAACAACATTAACAACTGCAAGTGCTCATCCAAAAACATCTGGTGGAAGAACCAACCATTCCAGCTCTTCCAGCAGCTCTCAGGGGAATATCCCCACTTCCAGCCATACTGAGAGCAGCAGCAGATGATCAGAAAGGCATTACACAGCTCTGGAGATGGGGTGCAGCCACTGAGTGAGGTGCTGCATCCCGATCACCCATGCGTGTCATCATTCCCTAGCATGTTTCCCATTGAAGGATGTACTGACTTTCACATAAAAAAACCCAACAGAAACATTTTTGGCAAAATCTCCTACATGTACCTGCTGGTGGACACCATCCCACTGTCATGCAAGTCCCCACACTCTGGAAAGTAGTAATGCCAGCCCAGCACAGCCAATGCAGAACACCTCTAAGGGATTTTTATTTTTTTTTTTTTCATAATTTTCTCTTGTAGGTTAGAGTTCTGCTCTGCCCACAGCTGCACTGGGACAGACTGTCCAAAAACAGCTGAGCTCCACATCTGGGCTGCCTCATCACCTGCAGAAGGGCTGCAGCTGATGGAATTAAGCAAGCAGCTTTTTTCATGGAAATGGTAAACACAAAGAAGGAAGGAACATAACCAAGGAGAAAAGTATGGAAATGAGCCAATCCCACAAGAGTTTTTGCAACAGTTTTGTCATTTCAGTTGCCTGCAGAGACCGGGGAGCTGGAGTCTGTGCTCTGCAGAGGCAGATAAAGGACTACACTCCAGATTTCACCCCCACCACCACTCCAGTAGAGCTGGCAACAGGGACCCTAGACCAGTACAATGTAGCCTAAACAGGGATGTATTTCCTGTCTACAATTCCATCCCACGTGATTACAGCTCTAAGAACATCACCAATGCCAAAGTGGCCAGAGAAGGTCATGGTAGACCTAGAAATACCAGTCTGAGGCCCAAGATGATTTACAGTAAGTGGCACAGCTGAAATGCACGCTGCCTGCACCAGCTAGCCTGTGTCAAGCACGCTGGAAGCCTGCCCACCACAAGAGAGCGCCTCAGCACATTTCAAAGGCTGAGCAGTCAGCTAGCAAGCAAGCAAGGCACTCTACTGTGCAGCAAGCTTGGTGACTTTCAGAGCACATGATGAGGGAAGGGCCTGGAGAGTCACCCACGGTGCTCAGTTTCCATCAGCAGTGCCAGTGCTGCAATTCCAGTAAGGGGTATAAATAATAGCAGAGGAGAAGCCAAACAGCCATCTACGTGCAGTGCAATGGCAGGGGGACAGCAGGAGAACCCCCAGCACCACATATAGCATGAACTTGCTCCTTATCCACCTGCACTGGACACAGCCCAGGCTGTCCCCTGACACTTCTGCATCCACCCCAGGACAGCCAAGCACATTTTGTATTGCACACACCATCTCTGTGCAGAGGGAAGCACAGGCTTTCCAGGTACTGGGGCAGAAAAAGTGCAAGCTAAATAGCAGTGAACAGCTGACAGCTGTTGTACACATATACTGGCAGACAAATGTACATGTAACAGCCCTGAGCACCCGGGAAGAAGTGCATTTAAGAGATTTCTCTGCCACTACACCTTTATGAGGCTGCAACTCAGAAAATTTGGGACTGGACATATTTGGTGGGGAAAGGAATCACAATGATACACCAGGAGTCATAAGCTTTCAGACCGATCCCAGCACCCTAACAGCCCAGACAGAGGAAACAGTTGGAAATCAGAAGCAGCGTTGTAAGAAATAAGGGCTGGAACCTGGGAGCAGAAGGGACTGAGCCTGTCGGCAACATCCTTTGACTTCTAAGTGAGAGAGAACAGCAGTAGAGGAGGGCAGCGGAGGCTGGGCATGAAGGGAGAGTGGAGCACAGTTTCTAGGATGCCATTCCAAGTAGGAATCCTCCAGCAAACCCTCCAGTCAGGATAACATTCTTCTTCAGAAATATGATCACCTAAGCAGGGGAGAGAAGAGCCAACAGTGTTGAACAACAGCAGGTCATCCACCCACCCTCCCCATAAGAAGACATCCCTCAGGCAGTTCTCCAAGGTGAGTGATGCTTGGAGAGGGGTCACTGCTCAGGTCTGGGAAAGTATCCTACCTAATGACCTCCTCTCCCTAATCTCCCCGCTGCACGTACAGCTCCTGAACTGATCCAGTCCCAGTGTAGCCCGGATCCTCCAAGAGCCGCAGTCCGAGCCTACATACCCCAGGGCTTTCTCACAACCAGCACAGTCAGTCTGACAGAAGGGGCTGCTGACTGTGCACGCCAGGCCAGGGTACAGCAGAGTCCAGGGTAATCAGGCCATTCTGCTGCCAGATCTGCTTAGCTTTTCTTGTCAGACTGAAGAGACACTTCTCCCTACAACTCCAGCATGTTTTCTCCCAACACCAAGGAATTTTCAGCAACACATGGTGAGCTGGTGTCATGCCTAGAAGCCACCCTGGCTGTCTCAAATATGCATAGATAGCTTCGCCATCTCTCCAGTTTTGCTGTCATGCACGCATTCCCTCCTTTTATTTGCACAATGGAAGATCCATAACAGCCCAGGAGTCAATCCTGTTTTCTTCTGTCCTTCCAGCTAAGCACCTGCACACACCCTGGGAGAGTTCTCTCACCTCATCCACTCTGCTTTTCACTTCTGGAGACATTTTGTTACCACTTTTGTGAAATTTCAGCTGCTGCTTGGCTTTGTTCACGTCCTGTTCTACTAGCTTCCAGTCCACTTTGATGTATCCCGTGTGGTTTGCAATCTAGAGTTTTGAGGGGCGGAAAGAAAGTTCCTGGAGTAAAGTCCTGCGTGACCATGGCTAAAAAGGCCCCCTGGCCCACCCACCTTCTCTGACCACAGCCACCTCCCACACACTGGTCCAGTGGGCTGAGAGGATGAGCTCACTAGCTTAAGAATTGGACAAAGGACCACCCCTGTAGATGTATTAACTGTCCTGCAACATCTGTCTCCCACAGTAATCCCCTAACAGCAGGGCAGCTTAGCCTGTTTCAGCCTCTATTCTCTAATGTAAAGCTGGCATCACCTCCCCCTCACAACTGCCACATATATTGTTGGAACTCTCTGCAGCTCTCCTGCTGCTGTGGGTGCACACAGCTATTAATAGCCTGTTCCTCTCTAAATATTTTATCTGGTCAGGATGATTCAGCAGTGAAACTCTCCCTGCTCAGAGCAAGCTTTTGGCTTTCAGCAGAACAAGCAGAGCCAGAAGAGCAGGGAGAACGAGTCACACACGAGACAGCACCTGAGAAGCAAACAAATAAGACTGCTGAGCGAGGCCTGAAAGCTG